CCCACCATGCGCACACAGGCTCCCTCCTGATCTGGTCTTACGCAGGAACGTGAGCCAGCCACCCCTTAGAAAAACATGCTGGAAATGACCCAGGAGCAGCCAGTGTACTGCAACACGCGATGTCACTTCCTGGTGGCAGGTGTGGGGGAGGGGCGCTTGAAGGGCAGTCTCTGTGGTTTCAGATTCCCTGGAATTGATAACCACCACGACCCAGAAGCAAAACCAGAAGATCAGCTGGGGGCAGACAGCAAACAGCCACACGGCCAGCTCTGCACGGGTGCCGGTCACCCATTCTGAGGAGCTAGCAGCCGGCTGGGACTATATGTCCGTGATCAGAAGGTCGCAGGTTTCAATCCTAGTCTCAGCAGGGTGATGTCACAGTTGGGACCCTGAGCAAAGCCCTTAACCCTCAGTTGTTCCAGGGACTGTCTGATCCTGGTTGCTCAAAAATGCATGTTAAGGTAGACAAAAGAGTCAGCTTGGTAAATGTAATGAGTCTTTAAAAAAGGTTACAGGAATTAAATGAGCATTTAGGCTGTGAATGATGGCAGGAGGCAACAGCAGGACTGGGGGGGCACCTATGAAATTAACCCCAGTCTCATGCTGTGCCCCCCCCCCCCCATTTACTGGAGGCAGGCTGCAGAGGAAGTGGGGGGCAGCCCCTAATTCCCTTAAAATGAATATCAGAGGCTTAAGCAAACTCATTTAGAGATCAGTCGGGGCTTTAATCCTCCCTGAAGAGGCTGTTTGCATCTCAGTCCACCAGTCTTCCCCCCCCCCCCGAAAAAAAATATAAATGGCCACATTTGCCGGAGTAACGGGTTTAGTGCAAGCTGTCGCAGGACAGAGTACTTACTGCCCCCTTAATCTCATTCTGGATAAACCAGGGAGGACAACAATCGGCCGGGCCTTATTTGGGTGGGGGTGGGGGGGATGAAAGAGGGATGAGACGGTGGGCGTCTCAGTTTGTTTGGGGAGGGCGGCAGCTTCATTTCCTGGGGGAGGCTTCAAAGAGCCCGGCTCAGACCCGGGGTTACCCACAGCATGTGTCAGGGTCGGCTGTATCTCACACAGGCATCCCCTCCGCCCCGCATTACTCCTGAAAGGACGTCCTGCTTCAGATCATTTCCCGAAAAGCAGGAGCTCCTCTCCTCTATGAAGCACCCACTCCCTGATCAGACCTGCCAGCCTGAGAATGAAATTAAACTTTGTTCACCACTTGTACAAGTACAGGTAAATAGGAATGCATTTGTTTTCACATGTCCCATCATGCTTTGCTTTTGTTAGCCACACACACACATATAAAGGAAGAAGTGAAATTTGCCTCCTGAGTGCACAGTTAGCCGCACACCCGGCACCACAGAGAACTTTAGGGTGGGCTAACCTTAAGGGCCTTGCTCAAGGGTCCAACAGAAATGCAGGTGTTTTGCCAAGCATGGGACTCAAACCTACAACCTGCCGCTCATAAACAAAGAGGCCTAACCCACTGAGCGACACGCCAACAGGCAACAGGCTGTGTCCTTAAGGCCCCTGCCTGGCAGAGCAGAAACAAGAGGGCGGGGCTCCGCAGCATCTCCAGCTGTGGGCCAGCTTGCCTACCTGCCGTGTGGCTGTGGTGACCCTCTCCTTATCAGGCTTCTCTGGAAACCTGCTGCCGTTTTAAAGCTGCCCGTATGACATATGTCTGCCAGGGCACGGAGATGCACGCAAGGCAAATAACCAGCCTGAAGCTTTATGCGCTGACGTCCTCAGCCAGACGGCCAGTGTCCCGGGCTCAGATTCCAAATAGCTTCCTTTAGGAGAATCATTAATGCTAATGCTTTACCGTCATCCTGTGTAAACAGGCTACTGATAAGTAAATGCTGCATAAAGCATGGGGTTCAGAAATCCATGCAGAAAATGAAAGTTTATAGTTAATTTAAATTTAAAATACCAGGCTTTCGAAAAAACAAAAAATGAGTATCTAACCATACATTAGATACGTAACCAATGCACTCAGACAGTCTGGAGAAGTTAAGGCGACCTGAGTGGCCTGTAATCCAGCAAGCCTGTCCCTGAGCCTCATTCCTGTCCCTGAGCCTCACGAGTGTCCCTGAGCCTCACACCTGTCCCTGAGCCCCACGCGTGTCCCTGAGCCTCAGACGTGTCTCTGAGCGTCATGCGTGTCCCAGATCCTCACACCTGTCCCAGAGCCTCACGTGTCTCTGAGCGTCATGCATGTCCCAGAGCCTCACGTGTCTCTGAGCATTATACGTGTCCCAGAGCCTCACGCCTGTCCTGGAGCCTCACGTGTATCCGTGAGCCTCATGCGTGTCCCTGACCTCACGTGTGTCCATGAGCCTCATGCCTGTCCCATTGTGTGGTCTGTGTTCTGTTTGATTAAAAATCCATGATTCAAGGTAACTGAGGAGCCAGGAGAGTGTTGGTGTGGGACAGAGCAAAGGAACCATGCAGCACATATCAGCCAGGCCTGAATCGGCAATGACCACGCTGCCCTGGCCACTATTAGCAGCTACTGACCCACAAGTAAGAGACTCAGTGAAATCCAGTTAGCGGCGTCCGTCCCAAATGGCTCACTGACCCCCTGCCCCTAACCTCCAAGCGCTAAATCCAAGCCCACTTTCCCATATCTCCTTGGAGCCTTTGATAAAGGCTTGACTTGAGTCCATAAAAACTTAGCCTGTTTGGCAAAAACACATCCTAGAGTCCATTTCGCAAGCTGAACTCCTCGGCACAACAACTGGGGATCAGCTGGGCCAGTAGTCAGCGCTGAGAGACCTCCTCCTGCCCGCAGAGACGGCTAGCAGACTGCCGCAGGCCCGTGAGAGCTGCTCTCCACGAGGTACCGTGTCTTTTACCGAGATTCAAACTTTGTGAACTATCTGCTCAGGCAGTCTGACCTGGTTCGCGTCTCCTGCTGCATTTTTGCATATTTCCCTTCTGACGTTCTGACAGGTGAATATGACGGACTGCGCTCGGTGGGACAGGGTCTGTGTTAGTGTCACTGCCGTCTGAACGGCTAGGCAAGGTTTGCTAACGTCTAGTGAAGGCTATCGGGAGAGTTCAAGAAGCGAATAAAGCTATTCCCGGTGATACTGATCTCAGAAATCGGACGCCCTGCCAGCCCCCATGTATCCGACGCTCATTCGGGAACAGGTCATTTATTTATTTGTTAATGATTATTCAAGTAGCTGTAGGTCGTGCTGGGCTGATCACCACCAGCATGCCCTCCCGCTCTGCCCACCCCCATCCCGATCTCTCCACCTGACTAATCAAAGTGCCCCCCCCCATACAGGGCAGCCGTGGCCATGGGGAGCCGTGACGGGGGCCTGGGGGTCAGCTCCTTGCACTCGGGCCGCGCAGGTCTAGGTGAGGGGTCCCTGGCCATCCTAGAGCGGGACGGTGAGCCGCCGCAGGCCTGGGACCCGGATGATGCCAAGCGTGCCCGCGGGCTGCACCCTGGCGCCGAGCGCCTGCCGGGACTCTACCTGCCGTGCTTCGACATGCTCCTGGCGGAGGATGCGACCTGGCTGATGAAGGCGGAGCCGCGGAAGGAGCCGGAGCAGTGCCCCGTCATCGACAGCCAGGGCCTGGGACTGCCGCCTGGCCTGGACGCGCAGGTGGAGGAGCGCTCGCTGGAGCAGGTGCAGAGCATGGTGGTGGGCGAGGTGCTGAAGGACATCGAGACGGCCTGCAAGCTGCTCAACATCAACCCTGGTATGTGCAGCCGCCCTACACGAGGGGGGGGGCTGGCTCTCTGGTTCAGAATAACAGCATGACTGTGTATGAGGGAATCCCAGTCAAACATGTGGAAACCCTACAGATAAAGTGCTGAGCCACATGAGTCACAGCACCACACGAGTCACAGCGCCACACGAGTCACAGCGCCACACGAGTCACAGCGCCACACGCTGGCACGCGGGCAGCACAGCACAACAGCACAGAAAGAAAGAGAGGAGCAGCAGGCTAAGGGACGGTCCTCCTTTGCGTAGCAGCACAAGCTGGGGGGGGGGCAGGGCCACCTTCCCCACTGACGGCAAGCTCCCCTGGACAGACCGGGCCCAGCGGCCATCTTGGGGGCCGTTCCTGTTTGCATTCTAGGTTTTTTATTTTATGACTTTCCGCTAAACCCTGGGAGCGGCAGGGGGCCCCAGAGGGCATCCCGGAGCGGAGCAGGAGCGGCAGGGGGCCCCAGAGGGTTAGGGTTAGGGTTAGGGTTAGGCATCCCGGAGCGGAGCAGGAGCGGCACCGCCCTGTGCAAATGCCTTTGTTGACATTCTCGCCGTTCACGCGTTCACTTTCAGTTGACACTTGCAAGCCTCATTAAGAAATGCAGGAGGGAAACTGGCACTTCTGCGAAAATGCACCCCCCCACACTGCATAAGATACCTGATACAGTCAAACAAAAGAGTTTATCATTTTAAAACAATAACACTCTCACATCCCTGTTTGTCTAACCTCAGCTGTGATGGGAACCGTGATGTGAGCACTGTCTAAGTGCGCTTTTCCACCAAACCAGGTACCGTACTTTTGGTACAGTACTTTCGGTGATTTCCCTTTTCTATTGACTTCCAGTTGAGTTCTAGTACCAAACAGAGCGGTACCTAAAGTGCCAGACCAGCTGGGGTATATTTTTGGTACTTTAGGGTGGGACTTGCAAATGCTTTCTTTGCCTCTGAACACAATACAACTGCTGAACTGAAAAAGGTTACAAAGTTACAGTCAGAAAACTATGATAAACAAGTAAAAAAAAAGCAGCAATAATGTATGTGTGGACAAATGAAGAGACCCAAGCTTTAACTGCGATCTGGTTGGAACAAGATCAGGCTGACATGACAAGAAATAAAAAAGTATCTTTTATGATGTGCTACGGCTGCATAGTATCACATGGAGATTTTGCTATAATAAATATTGGAATATTTATAAAGCAAAAATGGAATTTAAAATAAATTTCTCATAGATCTGTCTAGGAGTGATTTAAACAGCAAGGATAAAAATGATTATGATTGTCTTGGAGAATGCATGCAACGCTTATGCAAAAGCAGCGGAGGTAGACTTTCAACTGATTTTTAAACATATACTAGATGATCTTGAAAAGAAATAAACATGAAAATTGCAAAGATTCCTAAGTTGTGTTTCCTGTGACAGAGTAAAAATGTTTTAGTGAAACTTAAACCCATAAAACTATAATGTCTGGACAGGAAGACGATATGAAAAAGCCTGATCTCAACCAAGCCGGCTATCGCAGTCCTTGTGATGTGAGAATTACATGCGACAATCCCTACTGCCATTTTTAGAATTCAGTACAAAATGCCTCATGTCTCTCATGTGATGTCATTCAGCGGCAGTACCCATTTTTATGCCAGTGGAAAACTAACATGACAAAGAAGTTTTTTGAAGTACCAAAAGTACGGTACCTAGTGCAGTGGAAAACTTCTCAGGGGGCCCTAGGCTGACATGGGTTAGGGGCCACAAGGGGGCCTATTTCTAGAGTCAAAAGAGAAATGAGAGGGAATGAAAAACAATGGAACATCAATAATAAGCTAAACAAAGTACAGGTGCCAGTGGTTAAACTTACCGCTTAGGTAGGCAGCTTTCGGTACAATTTGTTATGGAGATGGAGGTATAATGCCAGTGGATCAATCTGCCAAATTTAAGAAGAGAATGTGTTCCCTTTTTTTCCCGTGACCCTAGACTGTAGCCAAGGATAGTCTATACCTCCCTTTGCCCCTGAGGCTAAGGTTAGCCTTGAACTTAGCCACAACTTGTCTAACACTGTAGAGGGATATTATCAAAGACATGGGAGATGTAATGTTAGTCTTATATCTTTGCATCGTTGTCTTTTTCTGTCAGGCTACTTTGTGCCGTTCACTTGACAGTGAAACAACCGGAAGCCAGACTCCAGTGTGAAAAGAAAGTCGGGTAGAATTAAAGTCTTAAAGTAGGAATAGTCCATTACAGCCGGGGCTGGGGGGCAGCTGCGCCTATCCAGAGAAATGCCAATAACAGACTTATTGCTGTAATTTAAATGATCATGACTTCATGGGCTCTCTAGTTTTTCAGGTGACCCAGGCAGCTGCCTAACCTTGCCTTATGGTGAGCCCACCCCTGCCCACAACACCATAATGAATCAAGCAAGGCTCATCTAACCCCCCCCACCCCGCCTCCTCAGACCCCATGGAGTGGAACCCTGGAAATGTCCAGAAGTGGGTGCTGTGGACGGAGCACCTGTACAGGCTGCCCCAGGTGGGCAGGGCTTTCCAGGATCTCTCCGGAAAGGACCTCTGCGCCATGAGTGAAGACGACTTCAGGCAGCGGTCCCTGCAGTGTGGGGACGTCCTCTACGCCCACCTGGACATCTGGAAGTCAGGTACGCCTGAGATGAGCCTTCTGGAAAGTATCTGGCACAAACCCACAGAGGATAGAGGTTCAGGGGCTGGTGGGGGCGTGTGTGATTCACCTCTGAACTCTCAGGCTCAGTATGTGAGTACGAGTTAAACAGTCACTCCGTTTAAATACTCAGTAAACCATCAGGGTTAACGCTGTCCTCTGTTTCCATGTCCAGCTGCTTGGATGAAGGAGCGATGTTCTCCATCTGACAAGTTGAACGGTAAGGAGAGAATGTGATGTGTCCCCTCTATCGGGCTCAGTCTGTCTGCCAGCTAGTGTGAGTGACTCTGTGACTTGGCATCGCCAGACCTGCCTGCCCACCGTGACCCACCCCATGCTCACTCTGTCGCCCCCTGCAGGTACGGAGGACCTGTGGTCAGAGGCAGACTCCTCCTGTTCGGGACAGCCCATCCACCTGTGGCAGTTTCTGCGGGAGCTACTGCTGAAGCCCCACAGCTACGGCCGCTGTATCCGCTGGCTCAACAAGGAGAAAGGTGTGTGTGGGGGGGGGGGGTGAATGCCACAGACCTGGGAGAAGGGGGGGGCGGGGGGGGTGAATGCCACAGACCTGGGAGAAGGGGGGGGGCGGTGAATGCCACACACGTGACCTCACGACCAGCCATCTTCCCCCACAGGCATCTTCAAAATCGAAGACTCCGCCCACGTGGCGCGGCTGTGGGGGATCCGCAAGAACAGGCCGGCCATGAACTACGATAAGCTGAGCCGCTCCATCCGCCAGTACTACAAGAAGGGCATCATCCGCAAGCCCGACGTGTCCCAGAGACTGGTCTACCAGTTTGTACATCCAGTATGAAGGGCAAGGCGGCAGTGAGGGGCCAGCGGGGAAAAGGGCATGTGCTTCGGGTTATGGATGTGCTACTGTTGGTCAGAGGCTGCGGGCGGTGGGCTCCGCCCATTGGTTCGCTCAGACTTCCCAGGATGACGTCACACACATACACCCCAAAGATCCGCATTCAGCAGAGCCGGGGACGCACTGCCCGACCACTCACCTGCTGCCGCATCCGAAAGGTCAAATCGCGATGCTGGACAAGCAGAGACGCCAGGAAAAGTGACGACCACAGACTGCCTTTACCGTATATTCGCATTATCTGCCTGTTATAGTTACTTATGTTTACAATTTCCCCCGTTTTCAGTAATTAGGTGCACAGTGTATAGGGATTCTGTCTTTCTATTTCAGCGACTTTTAAAGCCGCTATTTTTATTTCTGAAAATGCCATTTATTAGTGTTGCTCCAACTATTTAATAATCCTCGAGTGTTTGCCTCAAGATTTTTGATTGCATGGCGATTCTCTGGTCATGCACCTTATAGCTCTCCTCGTTAAAAATTTGCTGTTGGACAAGCACCGTGATAATGCACAACTTAAATATGATCATATTTGAATATATCATTGAAAAATTTATATATCATTCTTGACACCAAAAATGTAAAATGCTACATACTACAGCCGTGGATATTTTTAGACAACAACCTAAAAACAGTTCTAATTTATTTATACGAAGCAACCACTTTTCGTCCCGTTTATTGTTTAAATGCGCCATTTATCTGTATAGCACGGTAAATTTGCGAGCGCTGCGGATATATTACGGTAATCTGCGATGCGTATCGGTACAGTAAATATAGGTTTTATTTATAACCCCCGACGGCTTTCGGCCAGAGGCTCAAACAGGCGTTTCCTCCGAGGTCTTTATCCATCATCGCCACCATACTTATGTCAACATTATCCCACTTCCCCTTATCTACCCCCTGGCTATGGGCCGCTAGGGGTCGTGGTTTTTAGGGGCCTCACTTTGGGGTTTGAACTGGGCACCGAATCTCTGTGGGAAGGTGGAGGCGCAATCAAGACCCTGTAGCATATAAAAATGCTGAAAATTAAGGATTAAGAGCACTTTATCGGACCATTCCTTAGATCCAGCGGGTCAGAAAGAATCTGAAAATCGGGTCGATGTTTTTAAAAAAGTTAAACCCTTCATATAATCATGTTAATGTCAGACCAAAGTGCCAGTTAAATCCGTGCAATAAATTGACGAAGCCGATGAAACATGACGGTTTCTTCACGAATGAACAAAACTCCCGTTTTTGTGTAAATAACATGCAATTACGTACAAATCTTTAAGTCACACTCTCATTTAGTACTCTTTAGTACTTTCTTAATATGTCACCCAACTTTTCCATAACTTCATTTGCATACTTGTTTTACCTGATAAACTGTCTTTAAGGTTTGAAATATTTTTCAGTTATAATTCTTTATTACCGCTGTTCTTTACGCCTTGTAACTATATAGTGAATAAAACGATTTTGTAGAAATATTACTCTGTTAAATGTAATATATTTATATTGTGTGCATGAATGTTGCATGCCATTGCTGTGTCGCGTGCATTTACTCCGTAAATCCTGGGTGCATTTCTGTGGAAGTATTTGCCTGCCTGTGTGCGTGAATATCTGTTGGATAAATGATTATGGAAGATGACTGAATGTATGGTGGTGTAAATTAACTATTTGAATCAGCGGCCAAGAATGAAAATCTGGAAATAAAAGGACCGGATTAGGACAGGAGTTGGGGAAACTTTAACTCGGTTTTTATATGTTCGGCTGTGCACGCAGGTACCGCAGGTCTGTAAGTCTCAGTACAGGCTAGCAAATCTGCTCCTTCGGCTCTTCGATCCTCGTAAGGGTCCTGGAAACACCGCTGCCCTCACAGTGCATTACCGAAATGCATTTAAGTCATTCATTAGTCATAGTTAAATATTAGCTTTGCTTTTAAAATGAATGATGATTTAGGATCTCCAACTTTATTTGTGTTTGCGTCACCCTAATCCCCGATACGTCACATACTTACAGATGGATTCATTTATTAACAATTTATCAACCAGGTCAGTTAGCTGAGAACCATATTATGTATTCCTATATTCTTCAATTGGATGCTCAGCTAAGCAGACTTGCACAGACGGCTCAGGGGTCCAACGGCTCTCCCCTAGAAGGACATGCATACAGGCATTTCTAATGGTGACATCACTTTATTCTAAGATGGGACATATGAACATCGGGGCAGTGAGAGAGATAGATTTTTTTTATAGGGGAAATGAATTTAACCTCTGTTTTTGGAGTCTTGTTGAGTTTGCAGATGTATCGCATATCGCCGGTAACGTTTAAATTACGTGAAGCTGGGAAACAGTGACTCCTAAGTGGTTGTGAACTGCAATTGCAGAATTCCGGGTGTCGTACACACAGTGGGAGGAGGCAGTTTGGGTGGAGCCACGAGTATGTTTGTTTTCGCCTTGTACTTTAGTTCAATGGCCAGTAGATGGCAGAATAACACAGGGCCAAAAGTGGTGGGAATGTTCCTGGAAATATTAATACGGAAATTTGTCACATACCGATTTGAACGTAGACTGTAATAATCGCAATATGTAGTAAAACCTTTCCGTTGAGTGTAAAAAATCTTTCAATAAACAGACAGGACACCATGTTGGGGATAAATCTAAACATACATACTTCATTTGTAATCATAAAATTTAGTATTCACAACATTTTATCGCCTCCACCGACCCCTGACAAACAGAAGAAAAATAAGCATAAAAATATATATGTATTTGTACGTTTGCACCTTTCTTAAATGCTCACTTATAATCCGACTTCATTGTTAGCTTCACACAGTTATACAATTACGATATAATCTGTCCTTTAAGTTACATACGCCATATATACGTCATAAAGCGCAATTCTGCCGCCGTCGCTAGTAAAATAACATACATACATGATGGAGTCGGACACGGGTCCCTTCGTCACACCGCTGCTCTTCTACACGGTTTTCGTCACATGCACAAACGGACACATTTCTGCCGATGGTAACATAGATGTCTCTGCTCTCGCGAAATGTGCACGGTTTGTACATGTAAGGACGATGTGTTATTCCAGAAAGAGTAGGCGCGTAAGTGTTTGTGTATAAACGAGGGTGGGAGTCCCTAGAATCGACTATATTAAGATTTTTCCTAAGACGAATACCCTGACAGATGGTGATGTGTTCAAATCCCCACTAAGCCTGATATATTGTATATATAAATATCGTGTACACCCTCACCTCCCCAGAGGATCATGGCCTCCTGCCTTCCCCTCTTTTTTCATTGCAAACATAACCCCCACACCCTTCTCTTGCGGTTCTGGGGGGGGGGTCGCACTGGGCAGGCTAATGGTTCTGTTAAGAATAACAGTCTCAGGCATGATCAATCGCCATGTTAATTTCCTGCTAAGTTAGAAGCTTAATCTACTATGGAAATCAAACAGTAAACATAATGTAATAAGGTCTGATCCTATCCTTAAAGTTTCTAGCTCAAAAATTTAAGATTTAAGTCTCAGAATTAGGGAAAAATGAAATAAATACAAGTGTTACGTCATAAACATAGTTACTGCATATATATTGCATGAATGATATTGTCTGTGCTCCCTCAGGTGTTGTCGGTGAATTTGTCATTTTGCAGAATGGAATTTTTGAGGACAAACTTACAGGGACTGTGGTGGGAGAGATGGTAAGCAAACCCTTGGGGTCACAGGGTCCCAGTGACGCACAGAGTCGCCGCAGAACAAGCTTTTAGCTCGCATGATGTGCGTCAGGTGCCGCTGTGTGTATTATGGTTTGTGAGGCCCTGCGTCGTCTCCTGCAGGTGCTGATCGCATGTTTACCTGCCGGGCATGTGGATGAAGCTTCTCCCACACACAGCTCACACGTGACGTGTGACACAGGCATGGAGAACACGTGACCAGGGCATGGCCAGGAGGAATGACCATATACGGGGGGGTGGGGGACCATGCTAATGGGCTCAGTTTGGCTTCAGGAAACCCCCCAGCTTCCCCCCAAATGGGAAGCAAATGGGGAAATGGGAGTGGAAGAGGAGGACAGAAGGAGGAGCAGGAGGAAGAGGAGCTAAGGGGCTCCTTTCACAGCTATGGCCACTGGCCTGTTTCCAAAAACAGCTAGAACCAATTATGCTTGCCCCCCCCCATTATGAGGGCTGTGTGCCATCTCTGTAAGGTGCGCTTGGGAACCAGGACAGACAAGCCACGGTCAAACACCCCCCCCAGGAAGGGTAAGGCCCCTGCAATGCTAATGGGAGGGAAACCATGTGACAGGAAGGGAATGCAGCTTGGCAGGATGACCCATGCAGGAGTCACACGTCGCCGTGGAAACAGGCGACACTGGGTACATGATACTCACATTACAGCAGGACGCACAGCTGCACGAAACTCGTATCGATCACGGCTACACAAAGATGCAAAAACAAGTCCTTGCATTTGCTTTGATATTCACAAGTGGTCAATTAAATACTTGTACGAGCCCTCCACACCCCTCCCCCACCCCAAGCGTCGCTGATACCGGAAAAGTAGAGTAGACCTTTTTTTAATTGCTAATGCTGTGATTGATTATGTCGGCTTGGAGCTTTTGTCAGGCAGGGGGAAATGTTGCTGCTCAGTTCCTGGCTATGATTGGACCACACAGTCTCAGCTGCCTCCAATCAGGTGTCCTCCTCCACACAGGAAGCTAGATGGGCTCCACGTAATTGGCTGGGTACAAGCCCGTCTTGCCACTGTCCAGGCGACCTTTACACCAGCCCTGATCGTCCTCGTCCTCGATCCTGGTGAACTCCTCACCTGTGTGGAGGGAGACAGGGATGTCCTGTTAATGTGCTGTGCTATACTGGGGGGGGATACCACACAGACTTCTGGGACGTCTGCTTTAAAGCCTTGGGGGCCCCCATACAAATATGTGGTTTGGATGGGGATGAATGCCGCTGCTGATGGGCTGTCAGCTTCAGTCACATGTCTAGCCCTCTCCCTCTTATTGGCTGCATGACGCATGGCCGGCAGTGCATTGTGGGATATGTCTGCACAGGCTGAGGCCTCACCAGCTTTGAAGGTCAGCTCATCCTGCTCCTGGCCGTCGTAGTCGTAGAGCGCCCGCACGCGCACCGCCCGGCCCCTGCTGCCACCCCCCGCCTCTTCATCGTAGCAGCTGGCACCATCGCTGCCGTCGTTGGCTGAGTAGCCCGTGGGCTGCTCGTCGTCGGACCAATCCGCCTCCCTCGCCTGGTTCTTCTCGGAACTGCTTACGCTGAGAAAGAAACGGTCAGGGGGCTTAATGGGGGGCTGCCTACAGAAATACCTGCATACAACTTAATTTGAATGATAATGTCATTTGTTATTGTCAAAAACTGGCAGTGAATTCAGAATATTTAAAACAGCATCAGAGTGCACATCTGACGTTCGGGGCAGACATTCAGGGTTAAAACATGGATGGATGGATGTATGGATGGATGGATGGATGGCTCGCAGACTGGGGATCGCCTTACCCATCACTGTGCGGCTCGCAGACTGGGGATCGCCTTACCTGCCGCGGTCGCCTGCCCCCTGGTCTCCCCCGGGCGTTATGCCAGTGAGCGTCACCCCCTCGTTGGGCTTCTTCACCTTCTTGGCAATGGTGTGAGTGAGCTCTGGGTTGTAGTCCTGCAGGACAGAGACTGGTCAGCAGGGGTCGCACTGCACAGGTACTGATTGGTTACCAGCTCTGCACTGCTCTGATTGGCTGAGCTTGTAGGTGGGCGGGATCGTGGCACATTGATATTCAAAAGGACTACAGTGAGCTGCAGCTTTTTCCTTACTTTGTGCTGCCTTGCTGATTTGATTAAATATTAAGTTTTGGCAACAATATCCTTTAACTAAAGTTATTTTTTCAACAATAACTTGCAAAATAACCACGTGAGCAAGCAATAAATAAATACAGGACTGGAATGACAGATTTTTCAGTGAAATGTAGATCTCATAGGTGTGACGCTGACGTACAAAGACTTCCAATCAGATTATCAGATTTTCTTAATGATCTTTGCATTTCTTGAAGATGATAATCATCATCATAATTCATAATTCCACTTCTTCATTTTTTTTCTGGAACAATGAGTCCACTAAGATAATCACCGTCTACCCTGAATGTTTTGCCAAGATATCGACGAGAAATTTCCATCCTATAATTGATCTAAACGAAAGTCCTAATCCTCATGAAAAGTCCATTAGGAAATGAAAATGGTTTTGTAAAGCTTGTCTAGTTTTCTCATTTGACACCAAAACTGTCGATGCCAAACTAGTGACATGCAACCTAATCCTACAAGCTGCCTTCCAAACCCATCAATCAGAAACTGCTTTGCAGCAGGAGATGGGGCCTCATTCACCTTCTCAGGTGACTTGTTTCATTTTTTGATGCATCCCTGTACCTGCTGTTCTGTGATCTGTGTTACTACTCTGTTGACAATGTTGTGATGATTTTGTAGCAATTTGATTTCCCCCCCTGCTGTGACGTGATGCTAACCTCAAACTGGGGCCAGTTCATGGGCATTCCCGGCCCGTGGTTGTTGCTGAACCACTTGAGGTCCTCCTGCGTGTTGGCAGCCAGGATGGTCCTCTCCAAGTCACGGTACACCATGCTGTAGCTGAGCAGCAGGAGATAAAGGAGAGGAGTCAGACCAGCCGTGGCTAATAATGGACGTCAGCTAGACCGAGACGCTGTGATCAGGAATGGATATGGGAGAGTCAGACAGACCACTGGGTCTCAGTGAGGTTGAGGTGGCGCTTGATGTCCAGTAGGATCTCTTTGAGGAAGGTGATCCTCTTGACCTCCATCTGCTGACAGAGGTCGAACACCTGCTCCATGCTCTCCATGTATGGGGGGGTGCACTTGTCCAGCTCCTCTAGGGACTTCTCATACTTCTCTTTGGCCTGCAGACGACAAGCATGTAGGAGGGATTCTGGTTCACCGGCACCAGCTCAAACCTCCATTACAGAGGGCAGCTTAGTCCGTAGGATGAGGGGAACGGGTGGAGGTTGGGGGGGGGGAATCTTTAAGTTACTGGAAATTGTCTGTCATATATCGGACAGCTGGTTTTTATCAACTTAGAGGTGAGAGGTCAGCAGAGCAGTTATGAACTGGAATGTGGGTCAGAGTTTAAAATGCCGGCTGGACTGGTGACTATAGTCTAAAGATGCTGAAAAGTCACAGAGTGATGCTGAAATGTGGACTGGCTAGATGTTCATTAGGGAGCATCATGGTGCCTTCACAGAGTGGCGCTGGAGATGCGGGTCCTGCCATACAGCAGAGCTTTGGGGGCTGAATAGGGTCTGTCAGCATTCAACGTAAAAAAAAAACCTAAAGGAAATGAGTTAACTGTGCATCTAAACATTTAAATAAACATTTAAATAAAGGTTCTCCATGCTTACCCAGAATGCATCACTAAGGTACGCAGCTGCCTAAACTGACAGTAAAAGTTATGTTACATATCGCTAAATGTATGTTTTTCTGGAGATGGTTTACGAATATGAGATCCAGTAGGAGTGTGTTAAATTATCTATTCAGCACCACAAACAGACTTGCCAGCAAGTCAAGATCTTCTGTACACCACCCAAAAGAATCCAAACTGAACCGAGATAGTGTCCGGCTTGTCCGAAGGCCTCAGGCCTCCCATCCTCTGTGCCCCGGCGTCACCCCCCAGGTTCTCATACCTTCTGCACATCCTGCTTGCACTTGTCCACCTTCTCATGCAGCTTCTTCTGCTGGTCGGGGGTGACAGAGGCCTCGGCTTTGCTGTTGGCCTCGCGGGTGGAGGCCAGTTTCTCCTCTTTACAGGCCATGTGATACGCTTTCTTAGCTGTCTCCACCTGGGAAGGACGGCCAGGCATGTTGGAGGGAACACGCCTAATGTATATTACACAGGAAGTCCACAGGGACAACTTGTAATGCTGAAGCAGCAGCCATGTTTACCACCATTCAAGCCACACATTTAAATGGGGCCATTGAGATTTGGGGCCCCCTGTTGGCCACAAATATTTACTACACTTTTTGAGTGGGGCCAGGAACAGCAAACCCGCCCTTGTGCAGAAGTCCTTATCTGATTGGGTCTCACAGTGGCAGTACAGCTGAGTGACGTCCTCGTGCTCTCAGCCAGATGATGTGACCACTTGAGAAAGATGTAATTTGTGGAAAAGTCGATACGGAACGTCTTCATCGACTCCGTTACTGATCGGCTAAATGGACTCGAGAGACCGGCCTCTTCTGACAGCCCTAAGGCTGATTCCACAGCGAACTCTGCACACTTTACTCATTGGTTGACTCAACCCCCTATCAGGTCAAGCCAGGTTGGAAGGAGACGTGTGAATAATCTCTCGGGTAAGTCCAATTAGTGCTGACCGAAATAGCCTGCCTGTCTTTTCCTCGTAGCAGCTGCTCAATATGTCTATGTATATGAAATGACGAATTAAATGCCATTTGTACAAGTATGAGAACATGTACTTTAGATTGTTTGAGCCATTTCTGGATAAAGTGCATCTACGATGCCGCTATCAGGAAAAACGACGGTGGTGAGGCTCGCCTAGGGCACTACATGGGCTATCACCAGTAGTGTCAAAACGTTCCCCTCAAAAGATGGCACCCAAGGTGGCCACCTGAGTCACCTCTAAGGTTTACCGTCTCAGAAGAGCAGGGTTTGGGTTCCATGAAGTGCCACAGGTCCCACACTTGCCTCTTTGAGCTTCTTGGCCCAGGGTTTCTGGGCCTTCTTGAAGCCCTCTTCTGCCTCCTTGGTTTCCTTGAAGCCACCCATAATCTGCTTGTGATAGGCGTCCTTCTGCCAGTTCCTGACCTTCTCCAGATCTTCATTGAGTAGCCCGTTCTTCACCTCCTGGTGCAGGTCGCTAACCTTGTCTGCCTCCGTCATCAGCGCCAGCCAGGCCCGTTCCACCGTGCCGTACTGAGGTCCTGTTGATAGGAAGAGGACCTACACTTACAAGGGTACCAAATAACCGACTTGGGGCTCCTGTGAAGCCAACCAGGACACCTAACAGATTCTATAATCTACAGATATTTCAGCCTCTCAGGAATGGTGAAGCTCCTGGTGGTACACTATAGACCTTGTAGGTCCTGGTGGTACATTGTAGACCTTGAAGGTCCTGGTGGTACACTGTAGACCTTGAAGGTCCTGGTGGTACACTATAGACCTTGAAGGTCCTGGTGGTACATTGCAGACCTTGTAGGTCCTGGTGGTACACTATAGACCTTGAAGGTCCTGGTGGTACATTGTAGACCTTGTAGTTCCTGGTGGTACACTGTAGACCTTGAAGGTCCTGGTGGTACACTATAGACCTAGGATCTATATCCACAAAAGTATTCCTCCTTATTTGTCAGATTTGTCCAGGCCAATCTGTCCCTCACTCCCATGTGCAGATACAGACACATGGGACTGCACCTTTCTCAATCAGCTGTCTCCACCGCTTGGACCAGTCGGTCAGCTGCTGGCTGTAGCTCTTCTCGATCTTGGCCCTCTCCTGCAGGCAGCTCATCAGATCATTGCACAGCCGGTGTCCGTCATCGATCCGCTTCACGGTGCGTTTGTAGTTGCCCACCTGTACGAGAGATGTCAACCAATCAGATGTGGCTGAATTCCCATAATCCTCCCTGCCTGACCACAAGGTTTCTCCTTCCTGAGGCATTTACTGGTGTTTAAGAAGAGCTTCTGCTTGCTGAGCACAACAGGGCCAGAATATCTGTAATCCACATGAATAACACAATATTTCATAAGAAGCCGTTTGAAATGGTTCGGTGAAAGATTTAAGGCTGAAATGGCATGTGATGAATGACAGTAAAGTGAGGTTAACAGTTGCCTTCTGCTTGACCATCATCAGATAGATCTTCACAGGTCTCTATACTCTTGATAATGTGCTGCAGAAGCCATCTAGGAAAATGTCATCTTAATACCAGCAGAAATAATAGCACTTGCTAACATTTCATTAATCAGTCCCTGACACCTGGACGTGCGTCATTAAATCCTCATTAAGGCTTCATGTTCTCTGAAACAAAATCATTTTTCAATTTGGCATTTTAAACATGGCTCTTGAAGACTTTATTAACTGTCAAAACTATTCAAATTAACACACCAGAATAAAATTTCTTCATTGTCTTGGTCATTAAATATAATTATATGATATTTGTACAACAATACACTGGATTTGTTCTTGATTTTCATGATTTTCATGTGCAGCATTAGCGTGGGAGTCCATGTTTTTCAAGAGAACAATAACGCCTGACATACAGGAAGTTATATGTCCAGCTGGCCAAGTGGATTTGTTGCACTTGATTAGGGCAAAGGCTGTGGCTCCTCCCCCATGCATGGAAGGGGGCTGTCCATCACCTAATGTGGCCCAATGGGACGAGACTCTGCATGTTCCTGTGCATGTGGCTCCTCCCCCATGCATGGAAGGGGACTGTCCATCAGCTAATGTGGCCCAATGGGACGAGACTCTGCATGTTCCTGTGCATGTGGCTCCTCCTCCATGCATGGAAGGGGGTTGTCCATCAGCTAATGTGGCCCAATGGGACTAGACTCTGCATGTTCCTGTGCATGTGGCTCCTCCCCCATGCATGGAAGGGGGCTGTCCATCAGCTAATGTGGCCCAATGGGGTGAGAGTCTACAAGTCAATGGTGTTGTTGGGGTGGAGAGGGGATAGCAGGCACTTGCCATCACTCCTGGGAGCCACAATCTGAGATTACCTCTGAATTAACCACAAAGTTAGAAAAAAACTAAAGATTGTGCCCTCTACTGGCCAAGACAACAGAGAAGTAAGGAAGTGACCTCATTCACGTGGGTTGGATTCACATTTGTTTGTCCTTATTTACCTCCCAGAAGCTGTCCGTGGTCTCATCGAAGCCAGCGGACTCGTCGTAGGTGCTGGACATTTTCCTGGGTGTGGCAGAATGTCCCAGAAGCTCCAAGTACCCCCAGCAGAGCTGGAATCTTCATGCACTGGAGCAGGATGAGAGGAAGAAGGATGGATGAAACACAGGAGAAAAAGAAATGGAAGGTGACAGGAAGACAAAACTCCACCACATGGAAAAAGAAAACAGACCAGCCAGACACCCACAGAAGCTTGCAACTACTTCCTGTCATAGTCTATGATTTTAGCAAACTAAGTTCAACCCAAAGAGGGATGTTTAGAGTAGGTAAGGTGGCAGACTGTGAACCAGTCCTCTGCCCATATGGACAGCTGAGCTTCCATGAAGCTTTGCAATAAAAAGGGTCTGTGCTACCAGGAGATACTTCCACACGAAGGCCTGGTGATCTGCTGCTGATCCTTTAAGTCAGGGGTGTCAAACTGCAGTCCTGGGGGGCCGGAGCCCTGCACAGTTTTTGGTTTACCCTCCTTTTACACACCTGATTCAACTCCTTGTTTTAAATACTACACAGCTCTTGAGCTAAATCATTTGTGGTGGAACAGGGAAAGAACTAAGCTACACAGGAGGAGACGTCACACCGGGCTTCTGGGACGGGCATGATTCAGAAGCACCACTTCCCCGAGGTGAGGTGTGGGGTGTGATTGTGAGAGTACAAAAAGAGCAGATACCGCTTCATGGCTGAGCAGAGGTGCCATTAGAGGTTTTTGGCCGCTTGAAAGCAAATTACACTGGGCCCTCAACCCATACCAATCCAATTATGTTCTAGGTTTAGGGGCCCTTGGAATCGTCCTTGCTTTCCCGCCCTTTATAGTGTCCCTGTGATGAAGAAAAAGCTCACAGAGAACATTAACTGGACGGTCAGGTGTGTCAGTTAGGCCTCAAACGCTGCATCACCCCTGCAGGTGGACACTGTGCTCGGAGTGCTCTTCTCACATTTTAATTATGTACCAGATGTTTTTATCTAAAGCGACATGTTTTTGAGAAAGCAGGTTCACCCAGTCCCTGGAGCAATTGGGGATTAAGGTCCCAATGGTGAAATCACTCTTCTGACCCTGGGACATGAACTGGCAACCTTCTGGTCACAAACACAGTGTCCTAACCTGCCGTCTAACCACCACCCCACACCCTGGGTCCATTCCTTCTAAATCAATACAAGCGATAAGCTCTTGGCCAAAAGCCGCTGTCATTCCTTCACGGTTCATTAACTGAAGGGAAACTCACTTCCTGTGCATGATGAAACGATGCTCCAGTCTCATTCCCCGCACCACAGGCAGCTGACAGATGCTGCATGCCCTCACTGGCTTGTTCAGACACCCAGAAACGCGAGACTGTGTCCTACTAAATTGAGAAGCCTAGTTCTCCTCGTTGAGCAGACGCTATGATTGGCTTCATCCCTTCTGAGGGCTTTCAGTGGAAACCCAGACTGAATTAATAAGGCATACTGTTATAGAACACGAACAGCTGCAGATTTAACCCTGGAAAACCACTCCGTTTACACTTGACCCAAGAGCTTAAAGCTGATCTAGGCTCACGGGTAGGGTTTTGGACTGTTCTGTATCAAACTGGACACACCCATCATCATCTTTGAGGTGTCTAAGTTTGCTCGTGGGAGTTTTACTTATACAAAAATGTTTTGAAGGCAGAATGAAAAATGACTGGTTCAGAGAGACAACCAATCAGAATGTAGAGAAGGTGTGTCCAATCAACTAGAGGAGGCGAGACTAAGATATCTGATTGGTTGGTCCCACCTCCTCTAGTTCCTTGGACCCACCTCCCCTACAATCTGATTGGTTATCTCTCTGAACCAATCATTTTTCCTTCTGCCCTCAGAACATTAGTGTGTAATTAAAACTCTCATGAGCTCTTAGTTGGAGCTTGGGTATCTGCTTGTGTTGTTAAAGTGACAGGACACCGGCAGGTGACCTCTGAACAAAACATGAATGAAGCGCATTGAGGCAGAAGGTCAGAAATGCCCTTAAGGTAGCAATATACCAAAGCCTGAACTCAAGAAAACAAAGCTGAAGAGAGACTTTTATTATTCTTATTTAATCTTTTCTCCTGGGCACTGCCGGCCCTATTTGTTTTTCTGTGTGATGCTGCCATGAGGTGAATCTCCAGGGAGGTGTTTGTCTGAAATGAACCACAGCTGCTTTGCTGGCTCCATGTTCAGTCCATGATTTCATTTCTACTGAATCTCACCCAATTCAGATGCATATCCCAGACAAGCAGATAAACCACTATGCAGACACAACCACTATGCAGACACAATTCGAGTAAGACCTTAATCATACGAGTACCAGTTCTGGCGATCCGAGACAAGAACTGACAAAGAAGATTAAATGAAATTCAATATTCTGCAAAACTAGGGCATTCCAGAATGTGAGTCACATTTTCATGATTTGTGCTCTATGCAGAGATCTGGGTCTTTATATCACTGACCTTCACATTGAAGATAAGTTTGCTTTGTGCGTTGGCTGTAGGCTAAGGGTAGAAGATCCAGCATAGACCTTCACCATGATCTGCAGATTTGGTCGACTAAGATCTCCCCAGTACTGGCACTGTTGTAGAGGTCTCCTGGAGGAGAGTATTGAGGCACCAGGAGCCAAGAGACCCAAAAATACTGTCCATGATATTTTGCAACTTATCAGTCCTGCTTCGTCTGTTCAATTTCACCTAAGAGTGGCAGAGTGTGGTGTGCCCTGCCAAGTCTGCTGTCATGAGCATCACAGCTAGTGATAGCCTGTCACAGTCTCAAGACACTTTGTGGATTCAAAATGCAAGACAATTGCCCATTAATCTCAGCAACCAGATCAGTCAAAACCTTTGTCCATTGTTCCACTGGAGAACGTGACTACACAGTCACTTCAATGTGATGCATGTTCAAGTCCAACAATCTGGGCTCTCTGCGATGCTGAACCAGTTCTCCTCCCAAAAGCAACACCTGCCTGTTGCAATGACTGAACAGAGAAAGGATCTAACTGCGGGAAGCTCAGGATTACTGCCAGGCTCGAGGTTTAAGGGGAGGCAGAGGATCCAAGACCAAGTGGATGTGAGCAAAGGCAAACGAATCCAAACCATAATCCAAAGACACAGTTAAAAAAAAAAAACAAAACAGGGACAGGCTGATAAAGTGAAAACAGGGAAAGTGACCAAATCTGACACATTAACGGAAGAAGAAGAAAACCAGGGAAAAAAAGCAGGATTCATATGCAGAAGGTCAACCATGGCACAGAAAAGCTTGTATGGCATAACACTCAATATTTGTTATAAGGGAATCAGCTGCTGTTAACTGATTAGTGTGGTGCTCTTAAGGTTTAGGGGAGACGGGGTGTGGCTGGCTGGCTGTATGCTCAGATTGGTGCTGCCGTGACCAACCATTTCCATACACAGAGATAGACAGACATCGAATTCAGCCACAGCGAAACATCCAAAATGAGACATACGCAGCGTTCCATCTAGCCTCAGCTTCTCGCTGCTGCCCTCTCCGCGAGTGCCTGCCCCGCCCCCCACCCACTCCACCTGAACAGCTTGCTTTCTCTGCAAGCCGGCTAAGCCAAGAAGCGCGAATTCCCCACGACAACCTGCAAATCTAGCTGAGTCCCGACATGGGAGAAGGAGGGGGATGGGGGCAGAACCTTGGCAGGGCTGTCTTCTTTCTGGCTGGGAGGGGGGGTGCCCTGCTGGAATGCCCTGGACTGCCTGCCTCTGACTTAAGCACCCCAATACTCAATGTTCATCCGAATACCCAATGCTAGCATCGAGCTCCATGGTGAGGCTAAATGCTAACAGGCTAAATCCCTCGGGATTGTAAACTGTGCTGAGGCGTTGCCGTGCCGACCTGCCGCCGCCTCGCCTTTCCGTTTTGGCTTCAAAATTCTGCCGACTGGGTGGCAGAGAGCCGACGGCCAAATTTTTGCCTGGATGACGTGGGGGGTGGGGGGGGCGGGGTGGACACCATTAAGGGACAAACAGGATAAAGCAAAAGAAGAGAATAGGAGAGAGAGAGTGTGCGTGTGCGTAGAGGGGGAGGTGTGGCTTGGGTAAGTGGGTCAGTCCTGCTGAAGGAGGAACGCTGGTCACAGCTGCACCA